GGCTCTTAGGTCGTTCCAATTTCATCCCGAGCCCGATCTGCATTAAACGCGCTCGAGAGGCTACGTCGTTGTACAACCGAAGTGGAAAAGAATGATCAGCCTTGTTCTCCGCGGTACGTTCATTGGTATTCCGGATGAGCGATACGCGTATTCCTAGCGAACGAGATCGAGAAGAAGGGAGGGGGGGATGGGGGGGTGGAGGGGGAAGGGGAGGGCCACTTGCCGACACACCAAAACGGATCCTAACGAGCCTAATCGAGCGAACGGATCCTAATCTCGTTGTTGCTGCAAGCGCATTTTTTCGATCACGAAATCTAAGACGATGATTGCTTATGCTAACAAAAACAAGCTCGCTCTCGTCACGTGAGTGGTTTCGAAGAGAAAAAGGAAGCATTGTCTTTCCTCACTTTTCCAATCTATTCCCACAGCGACCTTCGAGCTTGCATGTATTTCGCATTAAAATTTTCTTTTTATAGTATTGAAAAAAATTGAATTTTAGTATACAAAAAATTTTAATATATTTAAAATAAATGATAGTAGTAGTAGTAGTAGTAGTAGTAGTAGTAATAGTAGTAGTAGTAGTAGTAGTAGTAGTAGTAGTAGTAGTAGTAGTAGTAATAGTAGTAGTAGTGATGAAAGCAGGTGAAATTAAAATAGCCCTTGGAAACATAGATTTGAGAAGTCTTATGTGACTTCCTGCTGGTTTTCGAGATTAAATTGTCCGTCTAATAATTGTCCTAATCTAATATTTTTTACGTACAAGTTTATATTACCCTGGATCTACTTTAAAAGAAAAAAAAAAAAAAAAAAAAAAAAAAAAAGGCACTTTTAAATACATTCTATGTTTTAACGCAAATTCAGGTATTTTTAGAAATATGAATTACACGTCCCTAAAACCTGTCGCGAAATGGGAGAATCAGTCGCACATCGCACATTCCAAATGCGTAGGCGTTTTACATAGGTGCATTTTACATGCGGCACTCACCCGGTATCGCCGATGTAATCCAGCATGCGTATCTTCAGCATGTCGTATGCCGAATCGGTCAGCGTTCCGTCATATGTGTGCGGGGGCCCCCGTCGGAGAGCGGAAACCGTCGCCGGATCGTCGCCGATGCCAAAATAATCGCTCGTCAACTGACGACCGATATCCCGGGCGAGTCTAACGCGAGTTATCGAACGGTACCACGTCCCCGATGCCTCGAAACGAAGTCGCGCGTGTTTTGCGCGAGTCACTTCATGCAGGAGTCGCGCACGTTTTATTTCGGCCAGCCGTACGACGTTGAAGCCTGAATTTTCACCAGACGCTCAATGTAAAGCATAACTATAATAGCGCGTAGATCCGCGTATATTTACTAATTCCTAGGATTAAACGTGACTCCGTTCGGAATATCTTCGAATTCTATACGAATTCTATACGCGCCTGTAAAATCCACCTTCCAAACACGCATCGCGGAAATTTATACTCTTTTTTATAAAAGAAAAAAAAAAAGAAGAGAAAATACGAGTTTCGATACGAGATAAAATATAAAAGTTTCTAGATATCTAGAAATCTAGAAATCTAGAAATAGTGTATTATTATGTCATCTGTCTCTTTCGAAACGTGATCACGTTTAATGCCGGACATATGGCGTGAATACGGAGAAATTAGGACGCTAAATCTGATTAGTTGTAGTGTAAACCTTTCACAGTTTTCATGGACGATACATAATCATAATTTTATCAGGAAAAATCAGGTCCCGGAGGTTCGAGAAATCTCTCGACAGAATTGTTTTCGAGAGTCGACTCGCAAATTGCAAGAGTGCAAATGAATTCATCGTGTTCGTCGGACGTTTCGTCGAATCGTCTGTCCCTCGCGATTATATCCACCGAGATAACGCGGCCAGTCGTTCCCGTTATCGTTCGCAATCGATTAATTCCCTCGATGCGTTTTCTTCGAGGCGAATGATGATCGCCGCGACACGAAAGGGACTCGCTTATCTTCGCTTCTCCGTCTTTTTCATCCCGAGATCGTCTCGCGAAAAAGTAGATCGCGTGCGGGAAACACCACGATGGATAGTCTCTCGCGAATCCCCGATACAATGATCTAACGATTAATAAAATTTCAACATTGCACATTTTTTTGCAAAAAAATCATCCCCCCTTTCCTGACAATTCTCATTTATTTTCAATATTAAATAACGCCTGTAATTGATAAAAATAATTTTTTAACAATAATTACAGAGACTAATTATAAAGATAAATTCTGATGATTTTTCTAAAAGTGATATTAATACGAAATATTAATTTAAACGAATTATTATAAACGAAATTATAAATATAAATTGAAATTACTGCAATAGATAAAAATCTAGGTCGAGAAGGTTAATGTTATATCTCGAAAGCAAGTTTGAAAATATATTTCCGAAGAGTCTACGTACAGTCATGTAAGAAATGGCTCATGAAAAATTCAATTTTTCTTATCTCGATGAATATAGATTCACGATCACATAGAGAGAGATTCATGAATTCGTTGACATCATCGGAAATCCGTGCCCCCTTAATTTGGACAAACAGTTTCGCTCCGCGAACAACAATGCCCCGGCCGTGTCGCGAACGTATCAAGATGTAGAGGAGCTCGAAGCGAACTTGAAATTGAAACGGATCACCGGCACGTCTCGGCGTCCCCGTCATTTCCGTCTCGTAACGAATTCACGTGGGTCGTTTGGGAAAAATTTTTCATTTCAGATTGTGCCTCGGTTCAGATTGTGCTTGTCGCATCCGACAACTACCGCTAACAATGTAATTCACAAATCGTCATTCGTTATCGTTTCCTTCCCCCCCCCCCGCGACGTTTCACGTGCCTCACGTATACAACTCGCCTATGTAAATCACACTGGATCTCGGGTACTGACGTCACTTCTCGAGAAGCTCGGAGATGCTAACATCTCCATTGAATGTTATTACAAATCGTGATCGATTCATTCTTACGTCGTACGCGCAACTCTCGACTCTCATATTATAAAACGCCTCTCCCAAGTGACGTCGCGTATTTGCCAATTACCAATTCGAGATCTCCGTCGCGTTTTCCACGTGCACGACTTCCTCCCTTCCTCTACGCACTTCTCGTCGATCGACTCGATCTCGCCGACCGAGAGAGAGAGAGATCTCCCTCTCGTTCTCGCGGAATGCCGGAGAGGAGACGCGACGAGAGAGACGCGACAGCGTATCGAAGCGCCGAACAACTGTTTAACGAGCCTGCTCGTACTTGCATCGTCAGTGGCACTCGCTCCCACCCGCAACCCGTCTCCGGCCACCTCCTCTTCCATCGCGTACTATTCGCTCGGGCCCTCCACCACCTCCGCCTTCCGCTCCTGTCCGAGATCCTCCGAGCGGAGAAGAGGACTTTGCGAATCGCTCTCTCGAGACTCGGCCGGTCTTTCGCGCGCCGATAAGATGTTTGCCCTCTTTTAGGAGCGAATCGGCATCGCTTCTCCGACACTTCGAAAGCCATCGATTAGCGTCCACGACTAGGCGATAATGATATCAATTCGTCGTCGACATCGAAATGTTTTCATTCTCAAAATCTCGGATGTGTAGTTCAGGATCTTAAATCATCTCAAAATAAATTTGTTTTATCTTGGATGATCTTTAAACTCTTTAACTCTTTCCGACATCTTCTTTTATCAAGAATAGAAAAGGTAAAGATACTATGATTTTACTATGATTTTATTTTGAGCAACTTGCTTATTCTAAGATTGTTATAAGAACAATTTGAAACTATCTATTCACAGAGAAAAAAATTTAACTAGCGTAATAAAATTGTTGCTATTATTATGTTATATTCATTGCAATTTTGCTGTAACTATATTATGCTTTTATTAATATAAAAGCAAACAAATTTACTTATAATAACATTGTCTAATATTAAAATCACAGAATAGAAGAAAAAAATTAAATAAATAAAAGATATTAAAAAAAGTATATATATTAATTTATAGATAGTCATTTTAGCAAATAAAATTAATTTTCTCAACAAATCTCTTTTCTCTACGTTAACGATCACGTAATCATTGTACTGATTATTTTTCATTACATATAAACATTTACATAAGATGTTTCCTAACCAAGCCGCTTTTTTTTCAGAGATCTTGTTTTGGATCCTTCCTGCCTGAGAATATTGAGAGTGATCTTTATTTGTTATCTATATAATCTTTATTTGTTAAGGGACCTTTATTTGTTATAAGAGGAAAATTAGCCTAGAAAGGGTCAGATTAGGTCAGATTAGCTTAAGGTTAAGAACCCCCCCGATTTAGACGTCCTCTTCTACGCTGATGCCATTACGCTGCGGCAAGACCGATCATTTTCGACTGAGATAATAGCACGGGGAAGGGACCCGGGGACCGGCGGAAAATGACGAGGCCAGTTACCGAATATACTACGTATATACTAATAGTATGCCCCGTTGTTCGACCGCGGAAGATCGCTCGAGGCTCCGAGAACCGAAGTGCATTATGGATTTCACAGCGATCGGGCTGATCGCGCAGGATTTTTCCGGCGCGAACGCGCGAATTCTTCCGAGACATTCGAGATTTACGGTGTCGAGGGGGGAAATTTATTAACGTTACCGTACGACGAAGTCCGGGAACACGTAAAAATAAACGTGATGAATACCATACGGATGGGCGCACCATGCCTATGTGTTCACCGTGTGTGCACGTGCCATGTATGATACCAATATTTGCTGTAGTAAATCCCCGAGGAAGCCGCACCGTGCTCCCGATGCAGCCTTCGGGAAATTTCGGGTTCTCTCGGATTCACGCGGAAAGAGCCCACTTTTCCTTTACGAAATGCCACGACCGCCCATCGTTGTTTCAACACCGAGTCTGATAAGATTGCCACTTGAATGGGCTCATACATCTTTTATTAGTCCCGAATAACGAACCAGGAAGTGTAACGAATAGCGCGATAATGCGAGATAAAGGTGCACTGATATAAACGACGATAATAATAATCGCCCGTGAACATCGCATTAATGTTCATGATATCGCTAATGCTACACGGAAAGAATAATTTTGTTGAATATAAATAGTTATTTGTTGGATAGAAAATAATTTTCACGAATACCAAAATAGTTACGTTCAAATTAATTATGAGAATATAAAAAGAGTATTTTCATGCTTTATGCATGCAAGTATTTAAATGCTTTACATAATCATTTCAGTAGTTTGATAAAATTAATTTTCAGACCTGTAAATCTTTAGATCCTACAGCGAAATTTTAAATTAATAATGTAATCATCATAATTATTTTAGCATGCTTATATTAACATTACGTGTTATATGATACAAGTTATATTTATACTCTAGTTGTATTAATATAATATAATATAATTAAATAACAGATATACGATTTTTAACAGAAAGACTTATAAGCACATCTCAAGATTATTTCATATAGAAATTTTTATCTTCTCTAAAATGTCATTACGTTCTTTCAAATTAAATTTCAAATTAATTTTAATACACACACACACATTAATCGTATCATAAGGATATTTCTGATCTATTGGAATCTATCAGTTTGTCACTCAAATCCGAAATAAAACTCATGCGCAGTTATCTCTTGCCATTTCTCATGGGGAAAAGTAACCCCTTCGCAAGATGGCTCACACGGCGAGGGATACAACCCCCTGTAGGGGTAGATAGAGCATCCGGGTGCATCCACCAGAGAATAGCCAATTACCGGCGTATGTCGCATGCGTTTTTTCCGGGGCAATCTCGGGGCCCTATTGTGGCCGTCAAATTTAGTGGAATTATTTTGCGCGACCCCCTGCCGCCGCATCGCCATTAACGTGCAGTCGCATTAATCTTCGTCCAAAATCGACGTGCGTCGTCCGCGCGCGTGACACCGGCAATACATCAAATTTGCATTCGGAACCTGGAATCTCGTCGCGTTGTTGAAAACGCGGAAAGCCCTCGAGCGGACCAATTTGTCATTCGATCGAAAACCGGTAAGAAAGACGTTAACATGCAAGATCCGAAAAGCGACACTAATTTCGCGGTCGACAAGGCCAAAAATTCCCGATCAATAACAACGAACTCGATGAGAGAAAATATATTTGTCAAATGAGAATCGACTATATAGGTCGATATTACTTGAAATTCAAAATAATGATATATCTACATGGAAAGAAAACAGTTTCCTAATATCTAAAAATTTAGCCAAATACACTGAAAAGAAGACTTAATTTAAAAATTTACTTGTGAGAAATAAAGGTTTGTTTAAATCGAAAAGTTTAATCCGTGGCGAAATAAACTTTTTTACTCATGTATAGCAAATGACCCATCTTACACAGTTGGGAAAAATAGTTAAATATATTTCATCATAATCTTTTTTACAACCGATAAATGTCACAGAAAATGTCACGAGCTAACATTTACTTTTGAATATTTCGACTTTCTTTCTTAATAATACAAATCTCGAAATAATTTTCGTGAGTTGTCCAAACAATTATGTAAAATTAGCTTAAATTGAATGCTGGAATATAAAAAATTTCTGCAGTATTATCATTCTTAAGCATTCTGCATACTAATTTTGCCAAAATTTTCAGATATGTATCTACATTGAGAAAAAGATATTTAAAAATTTATTTGAGAAAAATGAAGTTTATTTAAATACAACGAAATAAAATTTCGTTATACTTATATGGTACATATAGCAAATGAATCATCTTACAGTTAGAAAAATTAATCAAATATATTTTATATAAATATATATTTCATCATAGTTAAATTTTTTTATAACTTTATTTATTTATAACTGATTTATAAATATCGAAAAACATCATCATTAATTTTTGCTTCTGAATATTTCAATTTATTTTTCTTAATGACAGATTTGGAAATAATTTTCTTGAGTTATCAAAATAATTATGTAAGACACTCACAAATTGGCTGTTGGAATATAAAAAATTTCTGCAGTATTATTAATATTTTTAAGCGTCTTACATACAAATTTTACTTAACAAAATTTTATTTTAACAAAATTATTTTCAGATTTGTATCTACCGAGTTTTTAGATATTTCAGCAAAACCGTTTTTTCCATGTAAAAGTATACAAAGAAAAAAGTATACAAACAATGAGCATACATAAATCACAAAATATGAAGTTGACGTAAGGTACTCTTTATAACATTTGATGTTTCATTTAACATAATTCTTTACTTCTTATTCCTTTTCCCTAGAGATTACGATCGATATTACGAGCCGTGATGGAATTTCACAGAGTCGATCTTATTGGCAGGATAATCAAATGCGGTAGAAACTCGTTTATCGATAGCTCACTTATCGGAATGATATCGAGACTGAACGTCAATACTTTACAGATACCTTCCCTGATTCCACAAATATCTCCTCCTTCTCTCAGACGCTTCGCACACACATAAACCTCCACATTTTACGGATATTCCAGGATTTTACATATGTAACATTCGGTTTAATTGAATGTTTTAATTATGATGCTTAAAATATAACAAAGTCGAACGGTGCTGAAAACCTCATCACGTTCATCCAAATGCTTTACAAATGTCAATTATTTTTCACGCTCGAATAACGCAGGAAAACGCAATTGTATTTTCTTCTCTAAATAAAGCATCGCGCGTTCTTCCGCTTTTTTATTCTCCCCCGGGTGTCGGGGAAATGTGATTTTTAACTAGAAAAATATGATGGCCGCGGTTTTTTATTAATAGAGACTCTCAACTTGTTTACCGCTCGTCAATGCTTGCATAACGCGCTTCATTCATCGTGAATATGAATATGGGGGAGGGACGGCGAGGCCCTTAAAAACCTGAGTGACCCAGTTCCCGGCGTTCCGGTCACAACGAACGGCAGCCTCCGTTAGCTAATCGAAATAGCGGGGTCATCCCGCCGATCGGGGTGCGCTGCTCCTCTCCTCAAGGACGTTTCCGTTCTTCCGCCCTGCGCTACCGCCCTACTTGCCCCTCGGGGGACCTGCGCTCGCGCGTGCGATATTGCATAATTCCCGGCATCCAGCGAATCTAATTTATTACTCAACCATCATCTCCGCTCGACGCTCGATCGACGATCACCGGTCAGATCGATGTAGCCTGGAATGAGGATGTCCCCCCCTCTCCCCTTCTCTCTCTCTCTC